AGCGTGGTGTTTCGCGTAGTTTTAACCCGAAAACGCGTTTTTGGCGGTTTCGACGGGTTTTCACGAGATTTTCTCAGTTCCGGAGATTCCTAACTGCCTAAATCCTATCCCTAAATATGGTTAATCAGTTATTAACTAAAGATAAGGAGGAATCCATCATTCTTATCCACATACCCGCATCCGGAGCCCTATAAATACAAACCTAGGGCCTCCTTTCACGGGGGCGATTTATTATCAAGAGGAGGAGGTGCTGTCGAACTCCAGAGGCCAGAGTCACGAATTTCAGCAAGGGTTAGCGAGATCCCGACGAACTCCAGCATAAAGAAGGAACTATTCGAAGGATCTGAAGCTCGTACGTACGTTCCTTAAGATTAAGCTTTATCTTAATCTCGAGAAGAGCTACTGATTTCGCTTGGTCGATTTCAGCGCTTCAATCAAATACTCCCTCGGTGAAGGCGAAGCTCTGCCCGATTTTCCATCAACCGGATCCAGATCTAAGGCGGTCCACAAATATCAAAATCCCTGGCACAGGCAAAGATCCCTCACAAGCAGAAGACCGATAAACGATCTCCATGCGTTTGTTTTGACGAGAGTTGTAATTTTTGTTTTCATTGTGTAAGGGTCTTATAAAAGACTATCTTTTTTTTTGTTTTCATTGTAACGACTGAAGTTGTAATGAATATCGCAATGAATACATCAAATTTTGACGCAAACAAACTAACGATCACAGTGGGAGCCAACAGCTTCATTGCCGAAGCTGTCGTGTCGCAACCTCGGATCTGCATCCCGGTTGAAGAAGTGGTTGAATATGAGCTCGAAGTTCGAGGAGTATCTGTCACCCTCCTCCTCCAGATCATCCTCCCCCTCGTAAGCGCAGGAAGGTCAAGGCCCCCTTGCTGCTGTCCTCTCGCTTTGCAACGCCCCTCTGGCTTCCAACGAGGTCGGATCTACAGATCTGAATTCCTCCTCAATCAAGGAGTTGAGTACTGAAGGCGTGCCAATCCTATCGAAGAGGGCACGTCAAAGGCAACGTCAACACCTCACGTGTCATCTTGCTAAGGCTTTGGAGCCGATAGACGGGATCCGTTACGAGGCAGATCTAAAATTCAAGGAGCATCAAGCGACCCAACAACGAGCAAACGCCCCCTCCTCCAAATCATCAACAAGTGAATGGATCCAAGTCAAAAGGATCCGTTCAACACGAGGAGCGAATTCAGAAGCGCCGCGCACTTACACA